GTTCCTCACGTGTGCCCCAAAGAATAAGGTGATTTGTTAAAATATCATGCCCAAGATTAGCAACCGGGTGCCGGCGGGGTTGGGTGGGGGGGGGGGTGGGGGTGGAAATAGCCTCGGCTACCATCCTCTTTTGTCCGGTCCCGTGGTTAAGGCTTCCTGTACGCCAGATTGCAGAGTGCTCCTGGCAGTATGGGTTCGAGTCACTTCTGGGGTGTGAGTTTTCAGTTGCATATATGCCAGGAGACCGTTCAGGCTTGTTCGCATATACATATATACATACACATACATATTTAATCACTACACAAATACACTCATCAATAATCTGGCGTACAGGAAGCCTTAACCACTCGACCAACACGCCCGGACACAAGAGGATGGTAGCCGAGGCAATTTCCACCCCCCTGCTGGCCCCAAAGAATGAGGTGATTTGATAAAATACCATGCCCAAGATTACCGAGTGCCGGGGGGGCGGGGGGGGGAGGAGGTGGAAATAACCTCGGCTACCATCCTCTTTTGTCCGGTCAAGTTGGTCGAGTGGTTAAGGCTCCCTGTACACCAGATTGCAGAGTGCTCTTGACAGTATGGGTTCGAGTCACTTCTAGGGTGTAAGTTTTCAGTGGCATATATGCCTGGAGACCATTCAGGCTTGTTCGCATTTGTGTTCCTCATGTGTGCCCCAAAGAATGAGGTGATTTAATAAAATACCATGCCCAAGATTACCAACTGAGTGCCAGCGAGGGGGTGGAAAGAGCCTCGGCTACCATCCTCTTTTGTCCGGTCGTGTTGGTCGAGTGGTTAAGGCTTTCTGTACGCCAGATTGAAGAGTGCTCCTGGTAGTATGGGTTCGAGTCACTTCTAGGGTTTGAGTTTTCTTGAGATCTTGAGATGATTTCGGGGCTTTTAGTGTCACCGCGGCCCGGTCCTCAACCATGCCTCCACCCCCAGGAAGCTGCCCGTGACTGCTGACTAACACCCAGGTACCTATTTTACTGCTAGGTAACAGGGGCTTAGGGTGAAAGAAACTTTGCCCAGTGTTTCTCGCCGGCGCCCGGGATCGACCCCGGGACCACAGGATCACAAGTCCAACGTGCTATCCGCTCGGCCGACCGGGTCCCCTGCAATCTGGCCAATTTCAGTGGCATATATGCCTGGAGACCGTTCATGCTAGTTTGCATATGTGTTCCTCACGTGTGCCCCAAAGAATAAGGTGATTTGTTAAAATATCATGCCCAAGATTAGCAACCGGGTGCCGGCGGGGTTGGGTGGGGGGGGGGGGGGTGGAAATAGCCTCGGCTACCATCCTCTTTTGTCCGGTCCCGTGGTTAAGGCTTCCTGTACGCCAGATTGCAGAGTGCTCCTGGCAGTATGGGTTCGAGTCACTTCTGGGGTGTGAGTTTTCAGTTGCATATATGCCAGGAGACCGTTCAGGCTTGTTCGCATATACATATATATATACACATACATATTTAATCACTACACAAATACACACATCAATAATCTTTTGATCACAAGTGATTCAACAAGAGGCTCACAAGTCACTATTCAAAGCACTTTACATCTATAGTGGGTCACACAGTTACTAGTCTTGCTGCATCCACCCAACTGGGCGGCAGCTTTACAGTCATGTGCATGCATTATCTACAAGAAGCAAATTTTGGATACTTCGCTAAGATCTCGGGCAGCACATCATTATGAATGAAGTACTTACACATTTCTTGGACATCATTGATGGTGTTATCTCTAAATTCCGCGATTTTTTCACATTCCAGTACATAATGACGCAGAGTTTGCGAATACTTCTGCTGACAGAGTTTTGCAAGACGCTGTTAGTAACAGCTTTACCGATCAAATTTGTCACCAAGATATTTTGCCTCAGACCGGGATGCAGGAGTAGAGGAATTCTCGAAACCGACCACAAGTAAAATGAGGAGGTTGTCAGTCGGGTTCTGGCGTGCGTCTTACTGTATATGTGAATATGTATTGTTGATAAAGACGCTTCTTATATTTGTGTTGTCAGTCTTCAGGCCAACTTTCAAGACGAAGTTTTAAGATTTGTTTCCGGGCAATCATTGTAACAATTTATTTTCTGACTTTAACATAATGAAGAAGTGATAAAACTAAGTATTATTCAAGCAAGACGTGAGAGTAATGTTAATGTACTCACAAGATGGCTTAGAGCGGACATAATGCGGTGTTGTACAGTTAACTTAATTGTTCTTAGTGTGAAGACAGACACCAGACCGATTTTACTACGATTTCAGTGTAGCACAGGCTATGGTGAGCTGTAAGGCCAAACAGTCTTAAGGGTCGCTTATATGTATTGTGGAGACCCCGAGTCCCCACCAGCAGTTGCCACTTATGGTTTACTCCGCTTCTCTTTTTAACCCTAACTCACTCACAGAACTATATTTGTATTTGTATAGAATAGGTCACAATGCAAAGTTTGTTTAAACTTTCTAGTAATGTAGTCTAAACATACTCATTATAGACCAATAATAATAATTAATAACACACAATTACCTACAGCGGCAAGAGGGAAGCCCCTCAGAGAAATCTTCTTAACAACTTTCCGAGTTAGTGAGAGGAACTTGGCAAGTCATATCTGGGGTGGGCGCTGCGTGACGCAATACCCACTTATGCCACCAATTTTTGTTTTCCTGAAGTTCATTTATTATACACCCTATACCCATCCTGTTGGTGGTAGTAGAAAGGGGCACATATTGGGCTCAGGAACTGAACGCTAAATAAATAATTTAGATATGCAACTTGTAGTCTTGATAAACTAGAAATAAAATATAATGAATATTAAAATAATAATAATAATAATAATAATAATAATAATAATAATAATAATAATAATAATAACAATAATGATAATAATAATAATAATAATAATAATAATAATAATAATAATAATAATAATAATAATAATAATAATAATAATAATAATAGTTCATTTAGGTAAAAGTATATACATACAAATTGAGTTACAAGCTGAATGTTGGATATCCTGATAGAGCTAGTATATACAATGCCTAAAGCGCACAACGTTTCAGACAAGAAGTGGGAAAAAAATGAAAACTATTGTTTCATTAACAATGGGTTCAAGAGTTTAACCACAATTAAGGATGATAAAGAATCATTTATAATACATCGTATCAAGTTTGGAGACTCGTACACATGTGAGTGTAAGAAGCCAGGTAAATAACTCGGTCTGAAGGGTAAAGGCCCATTTACTTATACAGACTCTCCACTCAAAATATAAGCCATCGCCCATTGTCAGGACAACTGCCCATCCAACTGTCTCGTGAGACAGTGCAGAGAGCCAAGTGTGTAAATGGTTTGAAAGAGAGCATCGTGAAGAACCAACACCGCGACACTCTAGCACCACGGAGAACCAGCAACATCACGAAGTATCAACACCATCACACTTCATTATCCTAAAGAACCAGCACCACATTCAAACATCACAGAGCACCAGCACCACCATACTCCAGCACCACAGAGAATCAACACCCTGACACTCAAGGAACATGTCAGCAAATGCAATACCTATATACAAAGGGCAACAAACAAGAGGAAGTTGTAGTTCTTCGTGAACTACAGGAAGATTGTCCCTAACTTGTATATCAGGCAAGTTGATGGAGAACATCGTGAGAATAATCCTAGTAACACATCTGGAGAGAAGGGACTTCGTGACACACCATCAACATGGGTCCAGGGATGGCAAATCTCTCCTCACATGTCTAAAAGTATTCTACAACAGACGTCAAATATTAAGCAAGAAGAGAAGGTTGGGCAAACTACATTTTCTTGGACTGTCGGAAAGGTTTTGACACAGTACCCCTTAAGAGGCTGCTGGATAAGTTGGAGAAAAAGGCAGGAGTAACTTGTAGGGTGCTCCAGTGGATATGAGAATACCTAAGCAATAGGAAACAGAGAGTTATTGTGAGTGGCGAAACCTCAGAATAGAATGATATCACCAGCGGAGTTCCTAAGGGTTCCGTACTCGTATCTATCCTGTTTGTGATATACTTAAATGATCTTCCAGAGGGTATAGACTCATTCATCTCAAGGATTGCTGATGATACCAAAATTATGAAAAGGATTAAGAGGAAGACAGCATGAGGCTACAAGATGACCGAGACAAATTGAAGGACTGGTCAACATAAGAACTACATTAAAATATTTGTGTAAGGAATCATTGAGAACCTTGCATACCCCATATGTCACACCAATCCTGGAGTATGCAGCTCCAGCATGGAGACCGTATCTAGTCAAAAAGAAGACTAAATTGCAGATGGTTCAAAGGTATTCCACCAGACTAGTACTCGAGCTGTGGGATTTGAGCTACCAAGAGAGAAAGAGGGAACTAAACCCAAGGTCGCTGGACGACAGAAGACTTAAGAAAGACATGATTACTAGCACCACACTCCAGCATCACGGAGAACCAGCACCACCACACTCCAGCATTACGGAGAACCAGCACCACCACACTCTAGCATCACGGAGAACCACCACCACCACACTCCAGCATCACGGAGAACCAGCACCACCACACTCTAGCATCACGGAGAACCAGCACCACCACTCTCCAGCATCACGGAGAACCAGCATCACTATATTACAACGCAACGAAGGATCAGTGCCCTGTCCGGGAAGTTCCAGTAAGTGCGTCATCGACCTACGGCCTTGACCTCCTCTCTCTCCAACTCGGAAAGTTATGTTGATTTATCCAAGTATTTTCCCTCTTTGCTGCTAGTCAATGATTTTTATTAACTGTTATAATATGTCGGCATTCAGTATCGTTGAGCTGTACTTCTTGTAAGATGTACACCAATTGTCGCCAAACCGTAAGTACATGTAAACTTTACTTATATCAGTAAGTATGGCCTAGAGTCGGAGTTAATCATAAGTGGCAACTGCAGGTGAGAGGACCCGGAGTGTGACCGGCACATATAAGCGCCCAGTAAGACGGTCTGGCATCAGTCTTCACACTGAGGAAGAACAGTTAAGTTCACTGTAAAGCACCGCATTATGTCCGCTCTACGCTCTCTTGTGAGTACAACTGTATTTATTCCTGTTTTATGAGATAATAACAATGGCAACGGATGTTTTGGTAATAGGCTTAAGTTGTTCATGTTGAACATATCAGTAAAACTTTATATAGTGTTGTTCATATGTAAATTACAATGTGCTGTGGGGGCCCACAATACCCAAGGTCTTCCCGGCCCATACTTACAAAGTATTGTTCTCCATCTTGAAAGCTGATGTCTAGAAATACAAGACAAAATTTTGAAGTTTCTTCAACAACAGCGTTGCGGATAATATATTTAGCAAGACGACAGCCACAACCAGTGTCACTAACCCTTCCTGTTCCTCGGCTGGTGGTAGCGGTAGCACTCCTGGCTCTGGTGTACGTGGTCCTGGGTGCCACCAACAGCCTGTCACTAACCTCTTCTTCTTCCTCAGCTGATGGTGGTGGTGGCACTCCTGTCTCTGGTGTACGTGGCAGTGGCACTACCCTACCTTACTAACGGACATGGTGGCAGATTAGGACACGACGGAGGATACGGGATTGGACACGGTCCTCTCGGTAATCTGTAAGTATTTTTATATCTACAAAACTTTTATGTCTTATTTAGTAAATAAATATTTGACTTAAATTGTGCCATAACTTAAACTAACTTGAAGAGTAATTCAACTTGGCCATCTTTACAGGGTCCATGGGCCAGCTTACCGACCATCAGATCATACTATCACCCATCACTATGGATAGAACATGATGCTGTCTTTAACCTGACAGTTGATATTGGTGCATAATGGGTGCCGGAGGGCGAATGAATGTCCACCTTCAACTCTTCTCATATCCAAAACATTCCTTCTATTCCTCAAGATGAGGAATTGAGACTGTGATTATAAATATATTTTTGTAATAAAATTTTTGTTGTTAACTTTCATTTTTACTGATCAGGTGGCGGCGACAATTGTCCGGGGAATACTGATGTTGGAAAACTTGGATTAATAACGAAAGCCTTTCTAAGTATGAGGAAGAAATTACAATGTTTTCAGTAAAATTGTTAGAAATGAAGCACTTAAATGAATGGGTTTTAGCTCATGGCTTACCTTCTGATTTAAAAACAATTCTAAAAGCTGGAACATTGGTAAAAAAATAAATGTGGAAATAGAGATAACATATTTTAAAGAATTCTGTAAACTCTACTTTCTTTAGAAACACAAACATAAGAAATTCCAACAAAGTATAAACAAGCAAACTTCACTTGTTGAAGTTTGTGAAAAGATACGAAAAATCTCTAGAAGCAACCCAACCAAACAACAGCACCACAGTCCACTATAACAAGCAAACATTCTCATTAATCAATGGGCACTAACATCGTTACAACTCACTCCCAATTAACATACAGCACCAACTTAGAGAATCACGCCACAACAGACAAGGAACCATCAATCTTGCCTGTACAGCTATTTTCGTGTTGGATCCTAATTATGTATTTGATTGGAAATTAAATCATACACTACAGGTGGGCAAATTACCTGTTCCTGGAGAGAACGGTATTACTTACAGTTTACTAAGATTAGTCTCACAAGTACCAGGTAATCCACGTTTAGTATTATACAGAACGAGTTTAAGTGAAGGAGTATTGCCAGATGATTGGACAAAGTGTCATTCTTCCTATCCCCCAAACCACATTCAGATAATTATAGACCCTTATCTCTAACATCGTGTGTTTCTAAAATGCTTGAATGCATTGTCCTTAACCGATTTATGTATCCTATACAGGGGCACCTGTAACCTCAAATGTTTGGATTTATGCCTGGGCTCAGTTCAGAACACTGTTCTGCTGAATACTTCGCTCATACTGAAGCTTACCTTAAAGCAGTCTTCATCGACCTACAGCAGCTTTTGATACAGCAAACAGGGAAATCATAACAGAACAGCTTGCTGATCTAGGAATACAAGGGAAATGGCTAAAGGGCTATTTGTCTAATCGAACAACATATGTTTTGTTTAATGGTGTTAGAAGCACAAAGAGCAAAAACTTTGGACTGAGGACTCCACAAAAAGGGGTCCTCAGCCCCTTATTAGTTAACGTTTTAATGCATAAACTTATTAAAGATCTTCCATCTAATAAAAAAGACACGGTCGTCTGTATTGCTGATGTTATATGTTTACAGGCTGCCTCCGAGAATAGAATGTTAGTTCTGCTCAATACTTTTGCAACTAGAGCTGAGGAAGGTGGACTTCTTATCTCTGTACAGAAAACTAGTCCCCTCCTTCCGTGTGGTATTCCACCACCCAATTATCATATAGATGGGCGTGCACTTGAGAGTTGCGAGTCATTCAGATACCTTGGTGTCCCCCATTATCGACCCGGGGTACCTTTCTTCTCTCAAGAGGAGATTCTGGGAGAGATTAATGCCCTAGCAGGTCCTCGTTGGTTTATTTATACACTCTGTGATTGACTACAATGATCTACATCTCACACTGTACACAGAAAAAGAGCTAAAATCTCTTGAATCCTTGCAAAATGAAGCTTTGCGTTTCTTCCTTGGGGGGGTTTCAAAATCCACGAGAATAGTTCATATGAGAGCAGAGTTAAAATTACCTGCCATAAGTGAGAGAATTGTGTCCATTAGCACAGTTTTAGGCGTGAAGGCATTAAGTAGATCTCGGCAACATATGAAATTTCCAGCTAAATTTTTTAATATGCTACACTCACCTGAGGTCTAAGAAGAGCAAAATCTGATTAAGCATTTTGGTTTTACAAGGTATTCAACTCCATCAAAATATTAAATATGTACCCAACTAAATTAATGATTAATCAACCAATTAATCCATGGGATAACTGGGATCTATTAGTTGATTTTGTAAATGCACCCAAGAAAGATAGCATACACGCTACATTATTAAAACAGTTAACACTGAAAATCATCACAGAGAGTACCCAGGTTAACGGCAAAGATGTGTACATCGTTGTATACAGCTATACAGACGGTTATGTAGAAGAAGGTAGAAGATGTACTGGAGGTGCATGCAATATATTTAAACAATCTTTTATCATTTATTCAACAATGAAAGGGCGTGTCAATGATTGGGCAAGTACAACTCAAATCGAACTTGCAGGCATGTACCTTGCCACTGAATTTTTAAAAGACAAAGGCAGTGGACTTATATATTGTGACTCGCAGAGTGTTGAACGCACATAGTAGTATCACCGGAAAATTGTCAGTGATATACGAATGAATGTTTTAGCTGCTAACGAAAACAGATTTTAAATTCAATTCCTTTGGATACCAACACATGTTGGCATCTCAAGGCATGACACTGTTGATATGCTTGCAAAGACAGCCTGAAGAAAATCAGTTGTAGTAATTGATATTAGTATTTTATTAGCAGTGACAAATTGAATACTTAAACAAATATCTAATGAAAGTCTCACTGGCCTAACAAATTCACAAAAGCATGAAAGTTGTAGCATTAAACATTACGATAAATATCGCGAGGAGACATGAGAATTAATAGATCAAGTACTCAGCAATGTAATGTTATAGTGATCAGAACAGGCCAGGGATATTGACGTATCTGGCAGCTTTCTATAAACCAAATGTCGAATACACCATGTGTCAACTTTGCGAAAGGGAAAACATGCACTCCCATGAACTATTTATGGTAGAATGTCCCGTAGTGACTGACTTTCGATCTCCTGTGATGAGATATGCTGAACTCTGTAAATACTATATGAATACTGGAACACGTGATGATATATTGGACATGTACCCAAGATTGCCTATGTAATACAATGTATTGTACCTATAGAATATGCAATACATCTGTCATACAATGTATGTACCTATAACCTGAGATTGTAAAAGCATCTTAATCACCTTCAGTGGAAAAGTGTTTAGGATCACACTAGTTTCTATAGATACTATCTTACCCTGTCAAAGTATGAGAGACATAGGTGTATGTATATATATGTGTATATATGTATAGGTGAGTGGGTATGTGGAAGCTGGTCAGATTTGCATTTCTCCTTTGTAAACACACAATAATGACGCAATGTAAAAAACACCTCGAACACTGTATATGTAGATAAGACGTAAATCTGTGAATTTATGTTTGTAGATTAACTCTAGAGTGTTCAAAGCACTACAATCACCTTCTGTGGCTGATTGGTCACTGAATCAATCAACTGAAATAAATCATAAATAAAATAAATTCATAAATCACTGAAATATATGTTTAACAGATCTCTAACACTCTCCATAAAGGACAGAAGAAAATGTATATATATTTATGCTGGTTATCATTGTAAATGTCTTGACACGTTTGTGGAAGAATAATATTAATAAAAATAATCTATATAAATAAAAATGGAAATGTTTGTTTGTTCAAAATCTCCGAAAGTTCTTCACCGATTGCTTTGAAATTTCGACACAATGTTCCATTCGAATTTGCGTGTGTTTTAATATACCTACTATATAGATGCCACACCTGAGACAGATAAAAGAGAGACAGTTTTTTATAAAAAAAAAACAGTGCTATCTGTTGTACGTTATAGCAACACACACACTTTACTAAATATGTTACAAATTCCATTTCAAAGTTTCTGATTGCATTGATAAATTTAATTTTCATTGATTTCGATTTAATTTAATATTTATTGAATTATTTTGTGAGATATTGTATTGGAATTGAGCTGTATTGTTTATCATCCCATTCATTTTGTATGTATAAGTATAGATGCCACACCGGTGATGGGTAAAACTATGCTTTTCTTGAAAAACAGCGCCATCTGTTGCACGTAAGAGCAACACACACACTATACTAAATAAGTTACAATTCCATTTCAATGTTTCGGATTGCATTGATAAATTGAATTTTCATAGATTTTGATTTATTTTCATTTTGATTTAATTATTTTGTGTGAATTGCGTTGGAAATGAGCTGTGTTGATTACCATACCATTCATTTCGTGAGTATAGTTTATTTTTTTATTTTTAAATATTTTCTTTGAATTTTTAAACTGTTTTCTTATGTTTCAATTATTGGAACATCAGATCACTTGATGTTCCCAATTTTCTGATAGGAACATCAGACCCTTTGCAAAGGCATCGGACAAAGGAGTGGGGAATGGTGGGGATGACGAGTAGACGGAAGTGAGAGATGGTGGGGAGGACGAGGGGACAAGAGAGGGGGGGGGGGTAATGGTGGGGAAGGACGAGGGAATGGGAGAGTTTGGGATGGTGGGGACGAGGGGATGGGAGAATTGAGAATGGTGGGGAGAACAAAGGGACTGGGAAGTGAGGAATGGTGGGGAGGACGAGGGGATGGTGGAGTGGGGAATGGTTGGGAGCCCGAGGAGACGGGTGAAGGGCAAATGGTGGGGAGGACTGAGGGAACAGGGAATGGCTGAGCAACGCACATGCATTGCTGAGCCACAGCAATGCTTGGCCGGGTACTGCTAGTAAAAAAAAAAGAAAATAACTTTCAGCCATCTCCTTGCATCACCCCTCCCCCCCCACTCTCGGCCTTCATCTTTAAGCCATTCCACTCCCACCCTACACCTGTCTGACCACCACACCCAACACTCACCTGTGAGACCACCACACCCAGCCTACACCTGTGAGACCACCACACCCAGCCTACACCTCTGAGACCACCACACCCAGCCTACACCTGTGAGACCACCACACCCAGCCTACACCTCTGAGACCACCACACCCAGCCTACACCTTAGAGAACACCACACCCAGCCTACACCTGTGAGACTACCACTCCCAGCCTACACCTGTGAGACCACCACACCCAGCCTTCGCCTGTGAGACCAACACACCCAGCCTTCTCCTGTCAGACCACCACACCCAGCCTTCGCCTGTGAGACCACCACACCCAGCCTTCACCTGTGAGACCACCACACCCAGCCTTTTC